ACTCGTCGCGCCTTTGTGGCAGGAGCGGAAAATTAAAATTAAAATAATTGAAAAGCGGTCCAGTTTGCTATCTATTTATACTTGTTTATCTATGTTCAGAAACGCGTTAAAGAAGGCCACGTGCCATTTTCAAAATGTTTATATAATTTCTTTAAATTTTTGACTTAGACCACTTTCATAATTAACACTAAATGAATTCCATATAATGTTGAAATTACAACCAATATCTAATGATTTATTTTTGACAATTTCGTAAAAATTACATTGGATACATTTAGTTTAAACTAATGTGGTATGGAATAACTGATAAACTCATTTTTTTTTTAATTTTGATTTAAACCACTTTCATAATTATGGGCACGATTTTATATATTATAAAATAAACTTTAACGCCTCTTGAAATTGTAAACAAACATCTGAACATACCGAATTACCGTCAAGAGATTAAAAGCCTTAAAGACAGTGTCAGGAAAAATGTCACACATGCGTGGATGTGCTGACAAATGATTGACATAATTAAATAGTCTGCTTTATGTTTTCACTTCTCTTATGCCTTTTTATTGTCTCCCTCTGTCTTGTTGATATACAAGTTCCATTTATTTTTTTATTTCTGTAACAAGACTTCCACTTCAGTCCTTAACACCATATCAATGGCCTTATCCATTCTCTTACTGTACTTTCTTCCCATGACTCGTTTCTTCATTTGATTATGATGACTTTCTAAGAACATGCTAGTGTTATTCCCTAATCCTTTCCTATAGCAATATGCCCATGTAGTTTCACGGTAGCAGTAAGCTTTCCTAAAATATGTTACAAATGATTTTGTATCATCATCTCCCTCAAGTTTATCCAAAAATTTATTTAAACTAGTCCTGAATTCCCTCTCATCTAAAATCATTTTTATAGTTATCAATTTCTCATAAATTAAGTCTATTAACAATCTTGGCAGCTGCTGCCCTCTTCCAACTTCTGGACACGTGCCAAGAGCATAACAGTTTATGCTGCGAAGCACCCATGACAGATGACCCAGCATTGAAATATGCTGGGCAGTCATCTGTCATGAATGACTTTGTATTGATTTTACCGACTGCCTTAGAGATTTCTTCAAAAAATATTTCACACGTTACTTCATCTTGTCTGTTTGCAAAAAAAAAATGCAACTGGAACTCCGCTTCCAAATTCATCAATCACCATTAATGTATGCAACTGGTAATTGTAACAATTTGTGCCACACTTCTTTAACATTTCCGCCTGCTTCTTAGTCATTATTATTAACATTTAATCTTCCTCTCTAAGCCTGTAATCAACAGTGTTGACATTTTTATGAAACAATACTGAAAATTGCTCGCCTATTCTTCTCTACCCAAAGGTTCACACTGATATAATCAGTTGGATGTTTGTATGTACAATTATGGTTTTTCTTATGTTCGACTAATCTTTACTGGAGACTAAAGAAGCCCTCAGTGGTAATTTATTATTATACGATGCTTCACGTATATTACCAATGATAACATCGTCCTCAACTCCAGTTAAAAGGTTATCTGTAAATATTATATTACATATATAATAAATAAACACACACACACATATAATATATATATATATATATTATTATAGATATATGTATATCGATCGTGGGGCCGATCGTTGGCCCCACGTTGGGCGCCAGTTTGTAATGGGTTAAGGTTAGACGTAACAGATCGTCGATTCGTGGTAGTGGATAACTGTCTGCTGTCGTAATGGCGTTGAGTTTATGGTAGTCAACGCATACTCTAGTACCGCCATCCTTCTTTGGCACCGTTACCACCGGATCTACCCATGGTGAATCGCACTCCTCGACAATATCCTGCCTGATCATTTTGTAGAGTTTCGTTTTGAGTGACATGCGTTTGGCAGGTGATAAACGGTACGGTGGGACTGCGATGGGCGCGTGATCTCCTGTGAAGATATAATGCTCGGCGTGGTTACACGTGTTACACGGTGGTTACACGGGCCTTTTGCTTCGTTGAAGAGGTCGCCGTTCTTGGAGAGTAGCTGCTGCACCTTCCATCGGTCTTCTTCTGAAACTGGATGTCACTCATTTTCTCGCAGACTCAGTTCCCTGGCGCTCAAAGAGGCTATGTGTACTGTAGGGATGATAGTAGCCGTGCGAAAACTGACATCAAACAGTGCGTGCAAAGTGTGCTGTTCGTCCTTCTTCTCCGGTGGCTTGGCTGAACGAAAACAGGCATCGAACAGTGCGTCTAGTACCTGTCGATCATCAGTTCCATCCGTGTCCATTTCTTCTTGTGTTGGAAAGAGAACACGACAAATTCAGTTGGCCCTGGTCTGTTTTCCAGCCGCACAATGGTTGTCGTCTTTAGTATGGGTCGAAGCTTCGACTCCCCATCAGCCATCGTCATTGTCATCATTGATGGTTCGAATTGATGGTTTGTTGACTGCAGTAGTCTGTACAACGTTTCTCCTGCGATGTAACCCATTACGCCTTGAGCTTGTGCCTTAATTACGGGTCTGGAGCAAGGTTCTTGAACCGCGGGTTCTTCTGGTTGACGGTTCCATCTGAGATCACGTTTTTTTTATCCAGGCAAGGCACCTAGGGCAGAACTCTTTCAAGCGACCCTTCTTCTTGCACTAGCTGCATTTTTCTGGCTCTTGCGTGGTCAGGCTGAAGAATCCGTACTTTTGTGTAGTCGTTGAGGGAGAGCAAACCGGGCACTTCGGATAACCCCTGCCTTGCCGCAACCATGGCAGGAGATTCTCGCTTCGCTGCGAGTTTCTGGCTCCTCCTTCTTTGGGATCTGCTTTGTTCCTTGGCGTTTGCGACATTCTGTGACCGTGTGTCCGATGTTGCAGCAAAACGAGCAGGTTTTCCGTCGTTCCACCGGATTGTTTTTTCCCTTTTCTGCCTCGGAAGCTCTTTGGAGCAGCTCATCGAACGTATTAATCGTTGTCCGTGTAATGCGTTCACGGATCCGCATATGCAGTAGCCCGTAGAGCATGTCTATCTGCATATCTG